GTGGACACTAGAGAGAATGCAGCTTTAACACATGAAGCTTTGACTTTGATTTTTCAGAAGCTGGTAACAACGTGAAAGTCTCTCTCTAGAGCCAGTGTTTGGTTTGTCCCTACTGGGCTACTGTAGAAACATGAAGGGCTCATTCTAAGATAACGAAGACACAACGATTCTCAGTTCTACGTGATTATACACTAATGAAAACATATGTATTCATATTTTAGTCCATCTCTGCCAATAAGTCCCCCTAAATGCTAGAAGCAATAACAAAGTTTTTCATCTCAATAAATGTCTGTTAAGTCTAACAGACATGGATGAAAGTATTACAATATTCACATATCTGTGGTGTTATAAACTGGGTGTCTGTGGCGACATTCCTGAAAATAAACGCTGTTGTTCTAAAGGTTTTCAGACATCCACCACTACGATACCGACCTTTAACCCGGCTATAAACAGGAGTGTGTGTGACCTCTGACCTATTTCGCTGGTCATGTGCTCCAGGACGTCGAAGGACCAGCCGTGGTGCTGAGCGTAGCGCTGGTACATGTCGAACACCTTCAGGGGAGACCAGACGAGTGGTAAATACACAGACGATGCTTCGTCGCTCCTCTTCTTCAAATCCCTCTGTGTTCCTTTTTTATTATATGAGGCGACTCTTTAAAACAGAAACTGTTGAAAAGTAGTGAATGTGATCGTGAAGCACGTTCACACCTCATCAGTGAATAGCATGGCCTCCTGACCTCCGACCCCGGCTGTCACCTCCAGGACCAGGTCGCTCAGATCCGCCTCCTCCTCCGGCAGCAGCAGCTCCAGGATCTGATCAGAGAAGCGGGTAAAACAACATGAATGTGATGAACATCTGAAGGCCGTCAAAGTGAGGAGTTACAGTTGTACCTTCTGTCTGAGATCTTGAATATCTTGCAGACATCCTTCATGTTCCAGCTCGGCCAGTTCTCTCAGAGCCGTGTCTTCATCTTCAGGGGAAAACAATAAAAACACAGTAAAGTGAAGTAGAGTGATATGAGGATTATCTCTCCATCGTCAGAAAGTTTATACTCCTCCTCCTCCTCCTCCTCCTCTCCTCCTCTCCTCCTCTCCTCTTCCTCCTCCGTGTGTGTTTGTGTCTCACCTCTCAGCAGCGTCTCCGTCTCAGCCGTCTCTCTCTCTTTGGTGTCCAGCTCCCTGATGCTCTGGATGAGAGGAGCCAGCAGAGACACTCTGGTCCTCTTGGCCCTCAGCTCGTCCTCACAGTGCTGCTCTGTCACACCACCACCACCGCTGCTGGCCGATCTCAGACACTCACTGTACTCCGTCTCCACCTTCTTCAGGTGTTCCTGCAGAGACCTTTTGGCAAACAGCTCGTCCACCGACAGTAACTTAGCCGCCGTCAAAGGCGTGCCGGTGTGAAGAGTTCTCGTGGTTCTGCCACAGTGATTGTGACAGTGGTGGAGAAACGAGACCGTTTGTCTGAGGATGTTTGGTGGTTTTTGAACCCACAGACTGGAGACGCACTCCCTTCCTCTCGGAAGAAGGTTAGCGGCTCTTCTGGAAGCCATAGAGTCACTGAGTGGCAGAACAAACAGACCCTGGTAGGACTTGGCACGTTTCTAGTCCAGACGGAACATTCGGACAAATTCCATTAAAAAAATAAACGATTTTATGCTTAACTAAAAATATGTACCACTATAATTGCTATATTGAGAAATATTCAGCATCTAATAAAGTCATTATTGAATTCGGCGGGTGTGTATCACGACAAGCAGCGCTTTATTTTTAAAATTTTAACTTATAAAATAAAGGTTCAGATGTGTGTGGTATTCCTGCAGAAGTCGACAACTACAAACCAAACCGGAAACTTTAATTCGGAATATTTAAAATAAGATGCTGTTGCTATTAAGGGCTGGATTTCAACCTATACACCAGAATAAGAGCATTTGAGAGAGTAAACAACTCGCTAATATCATCTTTAAATCAAATAACGAATAATCCGTTACATCCATCATGTTACCGGAAAACATCGGTGCGGCGATAACGAAGGAAAACTGTCTCGAAAACGGATTCTTAATGCTAGTTATAAAGATTTCGTTTGTTTCCCACCTTGCTGAAGGGCGCAGACATGTTGAATGATACACGCATGCGCAGTCGGTAAGACGTCTTCTTCTGCAGACAAAATTACTGCAAGCTAAAGACTGGCACATGGGAGAAGTTTGACTTTTCAATTCAAATCAATTCAATTTATTTTTGTACAGCCCAAAATCACAAATAACAAGTTAGCCTCAGAGGGCTTTACAATATGTACACATGTGACATCCTCTTGTCCCAGGACCCTCACATCAGAACAGGAAGAACTCCCCAAAAACCCTTTAACGGGGAGAAAAGAGGAAGAGACCTGTGGGAGAGCAACAGAGGAGGGATCCCTCTCCCAGGATGGACAGAAGTGCAATAGATGTCATGTGTAGAACAGGATAGTGAATTACAACACATTCAATGTAATTACAGCACATTCAATGTATGACAGAACCACGGCAGGAGGCAAGACCTGGTCCAGGTATAACCCGGATACACAGGAACCTGTGAGGCGAGAAAGCACAGAGACTCTGGTGAAGAAGCAGGTCAATAATGTGCATTTATGGTATCGGTAATATGAATTAGTAATGTGAGTAATAATAAAAGTGATATTAGCAGTTGGAGTCAGCAGGGCCATGGTAGGAGGAAGGACCAGGGTCCAGATGAAACCATGCTCCATGGAAACCTGTGAGGAGAGAAAGCACCAGGACTCCGGGGAAGAGACAATATCAGCACTGTGCATTAATGGTATCGGTAATAGGATTAATAATGTTAATAATGAAGAACGTAGTAGGTGTCAGCAGGGCCATGGCTGGTTGAAGGACCAGGGTCCAGATGAAACTGCGGTCATGGGAACCTATGAGGCGAGAAAGCACAAATACTCCGGGGAAGAAGTAAAGTTAGTAATGAGCATTAATGGGACATCAATGCATACATACTTCAGGATATAAAGCCTTTAATTATATTGTAGATATTTATTTTTTAGTGTGCTCAAGTTATGGTGTGTTTTATTGTGTATTATGTTGATTTTAGTAATTATTATTATTTAGCATTATGAAAAGCAGGCAGTGAGCTTTACCTGAATGTGTCGTGGTTGTATTTTAAATGTCTGTGTGGACTGTTGTAAATTGGACTGATGCTGGGATCAGGACTAAATGAGCATTATGCACATCGGTATGTAAAGAGGTGAGCCCCCCCCCCCCTTCATACACAACCTGCTCGGTCTCTGGCCTCAAATAGTTCTCTTACCTCCCTGTGTCACTCTGTCGTACATTAGACATCAGTATATATATGTTAAAATAACACCCTGTTACAGTTTGGTTGTGACTTGGGTGAGAATATGGCGCCCTTCTCATACATTTTTTGCCTGTAATGCACAACATAAAGTGAAATACTGAAAGTATTGTTTACAAACTAAACTGTGGCATCCTGCACCCCCCCCTCCCCCAACTACTGCCTGGTTTCAACGTAAGAGCCGCTTCACACATTCCAGGTGGGGGTGTGAACTGTCCTCTGAATGGTCAGTCTTTCAACAGCACATCGTTTTAAAAACATGAAACAGAACAGAGGGCTGTCCTGTAAACGGTGTCGGTGAAATATGAACTTATTTTCTGTTTTTTAAGAGTATTTCACGTGGAAACCATGAACTCCCTTAACAAAATAAAGCTTTATAAATATAATTTAGATGTTTTAATGTCACTACCCGGCTCATATCACTGCTCATAATGTGTTGCAGCCTCATGTTGAACTCGGCTGAGGTTTTACTCGCTTCAGGCTCTTAAATCCTGTAGAAATGACAGGTTATGTATCTTTCCGTCCGTGTTTCCCGTCGGAAGGGAAATACCAGTGAGACCACCTCCCCTGCGCGCTGACGTCATCACCCGCAGACATCCCTGGCTCCCCATTGGTCGATGGTTTAAAGAGACTGACGCCCGCTTCGCTGTGATTGGTTAACGTCTTTTTGCGCACGGATTTCAAATAGCTGCAGAAACACTGAGCTCAGTTTTCAGTATCAGAGCATTTTAATCTGTGAAGAGGAAGAGACAGTTAGCTCAGAGTTAGCTCCGCGGCTAAAAGGAGGGAAGCTAAGAGTCTGCCGTTTGGATAACGATATTAACAAACGTATAACACACGTAAGGTAGGAGTCTTCACTTTATATAATAATGTTAACCTACGTAACGTAGCAAAGTTAGCTAGTAGCGTAGCGTATTTTAGCTAGTTTAGCTTGTCAGTCAACGGGCTAATTGTTAACTAACTTAACAATACCGACCGTAACTACGCTGTATTCAGAGTATATTTAACATGTATATATGTATAGTATAGCTATCTATGTGACGTTAGTTACGTAAGAGATAAATAAAGTTAGCTTCTTGGTTACAAGCTACTTCCTGCCTGCACGCGCGTAAATGCGGCTCAGTAACGTGATCTGTAAGTTATTTAACATTTAACATGTTTTAACAGATGACATCATTACTAAACACTCAACTAACATAATAAATTGTGCATTTAAAGACTAAAAACCTGAAGTCTCGAGTATCTTCACGTCACGTTTCCGCCAAATCTAGCTGCGTGGCGCCAAAATTAAATTATTTGAAAAACAAACATGCGGGAGAAAAGATTCTGAGTGTGTTTAAAGTTCGTGATAACAGTTTAATATCGATATATCTTTATTATATATCTTATTAATGGACTAGTTGCCTTCCTTTATCGGTGGATAAGTCTGTTTAGCATGAGAGAAGAAGAGAGAAGCCATGCTGCACACCTAAACTTAAACATTAAACTTAAACTTATTGCTGCTTGTTTGTCTCCTTTTTAATCCAGAAACCTACAAAGTGCACACAGCGTGTATGATTGACTGTCAGACGGCCATCATCATGAAGTGCCCACGTTACGAGGCTGCCATGGTTAACGGTGTGGAGAAAAGCTCAGCTGCTGCAGAGTCCAGGGTGTTGCACCTAAAAGCGTCTCCACTGAAGGAGCCCCCCAACATCAAACCCCAGTGTCCCCCTGCAGGAGCCCCCACAGTGTTGTTCAACAACACCAGCAGAGCGGTGCACAACAAGGAGAACAACACCGGCAGGGAGCACGACAGGACCGTGGACGACCGGTTTGAGGACAGCGGGTATCTGTCTCGGAACAACAGTCAGATCGATGAGCACCACGGGGAGGAAGAGGAAGAGGAGGAGGAACGAAAACCTGCACGTCAAGACAAGACCACATCACCAAAGAGCTCTCCCTCCAAATGTCCAGAGAGGACCGACTCCAACACTCCTGTGGATCGACACAAGACGACGGCGGCGACGTTCTCGCTGTCGTCCACGCCGTCCGACCGCCACAGAGACCCAAACCTGCCCATTCTCAACTTCCAGAGGGCCGTGTGTGAGGAGCTGGCTAAGAGCTACCAGAAGAACAAGAGGTGGGTTTGTGTTCTCCTGGTGTGTCTGTTTAGAGGCAGAAAGCATCGCTCTGCCTGTGGGAGAGATTTCTAAAACACTGAAGCCTCAGATCATCCGGTTCAGGTCTGACTCTTTTTAATGCTTCAGACACACCTGAGATTAATGTTAGAATCCTTGTTTCAGTCGTATTTAATAAGCACGACTATCGTTATTAATAATAATCCCGTTTGTGTTTGTGTCTCAGGTACGACTGGAGCGTCATCACAAAGGTAGCAGAGCATCACCTCCTGGATCGGGTGATTGGAGGCCAGATGGGCCGCGAGTACGTCGACGTGTTTTCATGTCTGCTGTCGAGGAGCATGAGGAGCATCCTGACCCACATCCTGTCCCTGCTGGGGGACCTGGACCTCATCAGGTAGACTAGACCAGAGGGTTCTTTATCAGTCACTGTTGGAGGAAAGTCTGGCTACAGGACGTGTGTGAGCTCCGATTAAAGAGAAACCTTTAAAGCTCTTCTGTGTCTGGAGGAAAAAGTTTATTATAATGACTTTATTTAAACAGTTTACAAAGTGAGTTAATGTAACTGCAGAGAGGTCGAGGTCAGATTCAAACGCTGATAACGGAACAATAAAACAATCTATACGATAAAAACAAACCATGAAATGAATTGATAAGAACAACATGTTGAAGGATTCGCTCTCTTCCTTTATTCATCGTGTGTTCACCTTGTTTCCTCTCAGCTGTAAGAAAGTGAGCCGGACCTGGAGGAGGATCATCAGTGATGACTCAGCAGCTCGGAGTCGATGTGGGAGAGCGGAGCAGACGCTCAGGGTGGGCACACACACACACACACACACACACACACTTGGCTCGTCACACATGGATTATGAGACACAAGGCTCGTTTAGACAACACGTCGGACAGATTTCAACAGTCAAAAGTAAAATATCAGATCTCAACGTGGCTCACAGAGCGCTCTGCTTTATGACAATTATACACAACATAACTCGTTTTGTTATTAAGGAGGAACAAAATGTTTTCTACCAATCTGAAGATTGATGGTAAAAGTAAACGGTTTGTGGACGTGCAGACGTTCTTAGTTAAACACGGGACCCTTCCTCCTCCTCGTGTTCTCGCGCTAACGTTTCCTCCTTTCATCGTCCTCTAGGAGTCGAGCAGCTCTCTGAGACAGAGCGGCTGTGGACTCACTCGAGACGTCTCCGTGTCCCGGGTGGTGCTGTCCTGCATGCAGGCGCTGGCCTCCTCAGGTACTCCCTCTTCCTCCTCCACCCCGAGCTGCAGACTCATCAGACGGCCGGCTGTCTGTCAGAGGGGCGGCACACCGACCCCCCCGTGTACCCGCTTCACTGAATACCTGCAGGTCAGCTTATTAATATGAATTAGAGCCGTCCAGTGGTCATTGTATATAATGTACATTTTACTTTGATATTCAGCAGCGATACAGTTTATTATCTGTAAATGCAGCTCTGTTTCAGGCTTTAGCTTCATCATATTTGACTGTAAAACAATGAAAATCAGCAGATTCTCACATTTGAGAACCTGAAACATGAAACGTTGACCGTTTCTTATTAAAATTAGAAACTTTAAAGTGACTCTGTGATTCCTCTGAAGCGCTTTGACTCTTAACAAGCCTTCATGTTGTGTTTCAGGCCGCCAGCGCTCTGAAGCAGCACGAGTCTCTGCGTCCCTGCAGACGCTGCGGCTCTCCGGCGACGCACTCGTCGGAGGTCCAGAGGGCCACGTGCACTCGGGCCGGCTGCCTCTTCGACTTCTGCACCCGCTGCCGGGAGGCCTTCCACGGCTCCACGCCCTGCAGGGTGGTGCGTCCTCGAGCGCACACCCCCGCCCTGAAGACCACGCCCATCGCACCGGGCGGCGCTCGCAGCAAGAGGAACATCCGGCGCCTGTGACCGGAGCCTCGCCCCGAGGCTTTTATTCTGCTTTTAAAGCTCCAGGAAGCTTCTGCTGAAGCACTTGTTTACAACACTGCTGGACAATCAACCAGAAAGTGTCGACCGGACAAAAACTGTCGTCGTGTGTGAGCGACGACGGGAAAAAAGAAAAGAGAGAAAAGAACACTGAGAACGCTTTAAATATATGTATCACTTTTATTATGTTTTAAAATGAAATGGATGTAAATATATATTGAGGCTTTTTAAATAGTTTGTTTGTTTTTTTTAAATAAATGTTGATATTTACTTCCTGTAAATAAATGTTTCATAAATCTGATCTTGTGTTTCTGGGATTCTTCAACGAGACAATTTCCCCCAAAAAGAAACAAAAACATGAAGATATGAGATTAAAATGCAACACTTTCCTGTATTTCTTTGCTTTATTTCCAACATATTCTCGTAGGTGTTGTAGTTCATTTACACATTTTAACTTATTATCAAAGTAAAGATTGTTCTCAAACATTCAGGAGTATCTTAATCGTCTGGATGTTATTAAACCATTGAAACTAAAAAACGTATTTCATGCCTCGTGGAATGAAAACATTTATTTTACGACTTTGTCTATTTGTAGATTCCTCCCAAATTCAACGAAGGTTACTATTACATAATGCCTAATTTGCATATTTAAAAATAATTTCATGAAAGTTCTTAATAATAATGTTGGTAATCAACTGGGGAAGATTCATTGTATCTATCTCTTTTTATACTTTCTTTTTGGTTCTTTCCATTAAATTAAGAGAATGTGGTTTGAAATATATATACTGAATATTTATATATATATATATATATATATATATATATATATACTGTATATATATAAATATAAAGAATAAATAACTCCGCTGTAGTTTTCTGATTTGAATAAACAGAAGTGAAGACTTCCCCAGCAGAGGGCAGCATTGTGTCTCTTCTCCTTTTCACTGTTTTCACCATATTAATATAATAATAGATCAGTACATTATTAAATTAAAATACAGAAACTAAACATTATTAGAGACAAAGACTGATTATTATTACTAATATTACTATATCAGCCCGTTTAGTTATCAGTTTGACATTTTAATATCATTTTTTCATGACATTGAAAACAAACCCCTTTAAAAGAAGAAGTTAGTTTGAATCTGTCGTATCGAGGAGAGTTCTGAACCTGTGAGAAGCATCGCTGACATGAGATCCTTACCTCTGACATTTGCAGGATGACCCATTTGTCTCTTTCTCTCTC